TCCAGTTTCTTCACCCACCCTTCCTCCGCTCCCCTCTACAGTGGAGGGCACTCTTCTCCCAAGGGAAGTGAATCCACCTTTCTCTCCCAGAGCTCAGGGCATGAATCCCTCCCACCTCCTCCCGGACCTTGAGCTCTTGAGTTTTCTTCTTTCCCCCATATCTTTACTGTCTCTCTTTTCTCTGGCTCCAGTTTCTTGTGTCCTTAAAAAAACCCAAACTCACAAGTCCCTTCCTTTGACACAGTCTCCTCTCTGCCTCTTGCTATAGATTTAGTTCTACCTTCTTGGCTAAACCTCATTAAAGAATTATCTGTGGCCCTTCCAGACAATGGCATATTATTTGGCACTAAAAAATAATGAGCTACCATACCATGAAAAGGAACTTCAAATGCATATTATTAAGTGAAAAAAGCCAATCTGAAAGGGCTACATACTGTATCCTGCCAACTGTAGAATATTCTAGAAAAGACAAAACCATGAAAGGAGTAAAAATATCAGTGGTCACCAGGGGATAAAATGGAATAGGTGGAAGAGAAGGATTCTAGGGCAGTGAAAACACTTTGTATGAAACTAGGATGATAGATACAAGTCATTGTATATTTGTCCAAACCTGTAGAAAGTACAACAGCAGGAGTGACCCCTCACAGAAGCTATGGGCTTTGGGTGATTATCATGGGATCACATAGGGTGTTCAGTTGTAACAAGAGTACCACTCTGATGGGGGTTGTTGATAATGGAGAAAGCTATGCACATGTTGACGAGGTCTGTAGGAAATCTCTGTACCTTCATCTCAATGTTGATGTGAACCTGAAACTGCTCTAAAAAAAGTTATCTATGCTCCTTACCTCCACTTCCTCTCATTGGTCCCATCACCTAAACTTGCTATTTCAGAGGTCCCTAGAGGTGTGGCTGTTACCTTCCCAGGATACACTGTAGTTCTTGTCCTGCTTGACCACTAGCTGACCGCCTTCCAATCCCTCCAGTTTCCTTCCACTGGTTTCCAGAACACCACTTCCTATCTCTCTGTTCCCTTGCCAGCCCCTCAGAGCTTCTTCTTCCTCTGTCCATCTCCTAAATCTCATCGTTCCCCAGGGTTCCGTCCCTTCTCTCTTCTGCATCTACAAATTCATGGCTTCAGTGTGCTGACAACCCCTAAATCTTTTGCCCCTGGTCTCTCTTCGGCTCCACAGCCATATTTCCTACTGCCAACTAGACAACTATGTTGGACATTCCAAAGGAATCTGACCCTCCGTATGTTTAAACCTGAAGGCAACATCTGTTTCCCCAAACCTGCTCTTCTCCTGTGCCCCCTACCCCAGGGAATGGCATCACAATCCTAGACCAGAAACCTGCCTGCCATCCCTACCTCTGTCCCTTACCCCTGTCATCCAAACATCATGTTCTGTCAGTTCTCTCTCTCAACGACCTCCACTGCACCTCCCCCACTGTCACTCCGCAGTCCAGGCCACCAGCAAATCTCTCCAGACATTGCAGCAACATCTGAATTGTTTACCCTGCCACTGGTTAGGGTCCATTGATCACTTCCCCTGGAAATACACTCCAAACTCCTAAATATGACTTCAAGGCCATCTAGGACCAGCCACTGCCTGTCTGTCCACTGCTTGCCACTTCCTCCAAGCATTCTGTGGTGCAGCCAGATGGAATTCCTTTAAATGCCTGTTACCCGGTTGCATGCTCAATTTCCTCCCTTTCTGGCCTTCATACATGCTGTTCTCTATTCCCCTACGGATCCTCCTCTTCTTCAGGCTAATCCCTCCCAACCTCCAGTTCTCTGACCCAGCACAGATTCTGGAAAGCCTGTCATGACCCCACCTCCCTGCACACCGTATTGGATACACTAGTCCCTGCCATCATGTGCTCTCCATCAACCCGTCACCACGCTCCAGCATCACTGTTCATTCCATTTCATGTCCTGTGGGCTAGACCCCCAAGTCCCTTGAGGGGGCGGGGCCTCAGCATCCTGCTAGCCACAGCAACCTGGAGTCCAGCAGAAGGCTTGGCAGGGAGAAGCTTGGTAAATCACTGGCATCATGTGTATAAAGTTTTATCTAATCCCTACTTTGTGAAAACATGTCCCCATTTCACTAAGGTAGAAATCCCAGCAGTCGGAGAAGCTCTTAGCAGAAGAGGGATTCATCCAATGTTTCTTAATTTCAAGAAGTGCTCTTTCCAAGTTCCTGGTTTTCTAAAGCTACAGACTTGCCTTGGGAAACAAAAAGAAACTTACTTTTTACGAACCTAAGAGGGTAAAGTGGCAACTGGTGATAAGGATTCATCAACACAACACTGCAGCCAGCACCTGGCAACAGAACTGTTACTACAGTAAACCCTACAATCCTTCCAGGTGATTCGCAACAGGAACTGTTACTACAGTAAACCCTACAATCCTTCCAGGTGATTCGCAACAGGAACTGTTACTACAGTAAACCCTACAATCCTTCCAGGTGATTCTTGGGAAAATTCCTCAACTGACTTTTCTCTTTATAGAATTTCTATTCCTGCCCTGATCACCCTTGGCATAATCTACTCTTGAGCCATCCACTGTTCTCATCAAAACACACACACAAAAAAAAACCCACAGGGATCACAATGCAGATAACCATAAAGGAAATGTCAGGTATCTCTGACAGGCAGAATTCCAAATGTGCGCAATGAACACTACACATTCTGATCATGGCAGAGCCCAGGAATCTGGAGAAATCATATGTGGGTCACATTTTAAAGAAACAGTCTAAGCACTATTTGCAAAAAACAAACTGCATCAGAAAACAAGTTCTTAAATAATTTAAAATCTAAAACTTAATAGGCAACACACATGTAAGCCACAAACTCAGAGTGGCCAACATCATATGGCACTACACACTTGTATGCTTGGTGTGGGGTAGACTTCTTGCCCCACTATGTTTTCATCAGTTCTAGAAAGAGAATTAAATGGATAGAAAGTGAATGGGGGTATATGTTTATTATCAGACATTATTGTTAAGGGACACAGAAATTGACTGAAATAATTATTTATATGGGAAGTAAATAGTATGACAACGCAAGGTGAAATTTTCTTCTATAAACTGCACGTACTCAACTGCACTATCATGTCACACATTGATCTAGGCAGGAGTACACAGTCCACAGCCTACACCCAGACATTTCATGTCCTTAATCTCCTGTAAGTGGAAGAGGAATCCTTTTCAGCTTCTAAGTTTGAAAGCGAGGCCTATCTTTTTAAGCATTTCCGCACATGCCTCTCACCTGCAGCCCACACTCTCCTCTGCCCTCTCAGCCCCTTGCACAGCTCTTTTCCTGAAGAATAAGCAGGCCCTATGGACACACCTTGTTCTCTACATCTCCTTCTGTCCAGGACTTGACATGTGCCCTCTCCATGTGCCTAGATGCTCACATTCTCAGCACAAGCCCAGCTCCCTTTGAAATGTAAACCACAAAGCCCAGCTGGCCTGGAACTCCTCTGACCTGCTGTCTTGAGGAAGAGCCTTATACTGATGGTTGAGTCCCTCTATCCATACTAGGCATAAGTCTACCTGCCTGGAAAAACAGCGCTCTCCTCTCCATTCCCGTTTTGAGCAAACATCAGTGACTTGAATATGTGCTCAAATGGAGGCAAGCCATCCTCCAGACCTGTCCTCTTCAGTTTGCATAAAACTACTCTCAAGCAGGGTATCTGAATTGCCTATCTTTCCTGCAACGTATGGATAACATTAAACCTTTGTTCCCATCTACCCTAGATATCATCTACTTTTCACAAAGTTTTCACTTGAACACCCTTAAATCCAGATATTACGACCTTTACTTAAGACTATAAAACAATGCGGTTGCCCAAGATGAGCACAAAACATTTAAAATTATCCCCGTTTCCCTGTCAGGGTGCTGTATTTACCACCAACCCCTACCGCCCCGCAGCGGCCGCCTTCTTTGTCGTCATTTTCCTGGGGCTTCTGTGTATCTTGATTTTCCAGCTGAGGCGCTGAATTTCCTGGGTAACTCCAGGCAGGCTTGAGGAACACCTGTGCTGACTATTTTACCCTCTCTACCTGGATGGCTGCAAAAACCTGAATCGAACAGACTTGGCTGGAGGCGGGGGCTTTTGAATGAAATAAGATTTTCTTTTAAGTAATTATTCAATGCCCAAGTCCACATTTCGGCCTTCCACAGAGCAGCTGCCATATTCCCGGCTGCTTCCCTGAGGCTCCATCCCCAGGAAACTCCTCACTGACTGACTGACTCCTCTGCGTTGTGTCCTCCTCTCAGGTTTTCTACAAGTCCTGCCTGTGCCTCTTCATCTCATCTGGGTTAATGGTGCCCAGCACAGGTCTCCACAGCCCATCCTCAATGGCCCCATTATCTACGGTGTCTTTAGCACCGATGAACTCCTAGAAACTTAAGCTGGAGGACTCATCCCAATGGGACTGACATGCGTCTTGTTAACTTTCCCTCAGAATGTTCACGTCAGTGGTTCACTTTTCAAATTTGCATCAGTGCTGAGATTTAAACTTTATGGAATTGAGCAACGAGCGTGATGTTACACTCTTGAAAGAAAAGAGCTCGCCCATTTCCCTTGGGAGTTTCTCAAAAAAAAAAAAAAAAGTGAGAAAAAGGAAGGGGAGAAAACAAGGGAGGTATTAACCATTCTTCGGGTACCCTGTACAACCACGCACTACCCTTTGCTCCTGGAGAAAGCGCCGCGCTTACGGTTCCTGACAGGTGAGCCTCGAAGACCACCCCGAGACCCGTGGCTTAGCATTAACATAACATCCACGTGGGGTGAGGGACCACAGCACCGCTGGTGACACCGGGAAGGGAAGAATAAGAGCGAATACAGGAAGAACGTAGAAGAGAAGCCCCGAACCCACCGCACTTCGCCTCCGGGTGGCCACCGGCACCGGCTGCCAAGCCTGGGCAGAAGCGGCTGGGCGGGGTCTCCTCCCGCCGCGCGGGGCCCCCGCGCCGCCCGGGCGGCGCCCCCTTACCTTGCGGGAGTACGGGGGCTTGCTCAGGTGGATGCCGTCGCGGACGAGCTTATCCCGGATCATGATCTTCAGCTTCAGTTTGGGGTAGCTCACCAGCTCCCTGCTGCGGGCGGCGGTCTGGCAGCGGGGGTCCCCGCGGGGGCCCTGGGCAGGGCCGCCGCGCGGCTCCCCCCGGCGGCCGGTGGGGAAGGTGGGCGCGGGTGGCGGCTGCGGCTCGAGCGTGAAGTAGAGGCCGGCGGCGGCGGCGTCCTGCTCCCTCAGCCGGCGCACGGCGTCCAGGATGCGGCGGCGGTGCGCGGGCGCCAGCACCCCGATGGCGTCCAGGTCGGGGTCCCCGATCTGCTTGCACACCTCCAGGTCATCGTAGCCGTTATCCACGAAGGACTCCGCGTACTGCGGGAGCTGCAGCGCTCTGAGCCACTCGTAGACTATGTTGGTGCACATGGTGGGACCGGAGCCCCGCCGGCAAACACTGTCCCAGTGCCGAGCGGCACCAGTTCTTGGAACTTTTAATCCTTCCCTCCGAGGGGAGGAAAAAATCGCAGCAAAGTTTTCCTTTTAGAGGAAAGGATGGGGTCAGAGACGGAGAGCCATTAGAAGCAGCCTGGGAGGGAGGCGCGTAAAAGCGGCCAAGTGAATTCCCAAGGCAGCCTAGGCTCGCAGGCGCGGGCGGCTCGGCGAGCAGCTCCTCGCCGCCCCTGGAAGCGCCGCCGCCGCCGCGGGGAGGGGCGCGCGAGGGGGCGGGGCTGGCACACCCTCGGCCCGGCGCGCGGTCAGCGGCGCGCCGAGCCGCCGCGGAGCCTCCCTAGCGCCGAGCGGCCCGGGGCTGCGTGCAGCATCTCGGCTTCGGGCTTCCGCCTTCGGTGTCTGCACGCGCGCCCGGCCCTGGGGAGGCGGCTCCTTAGAACAGACCTGCGGCCGCCCCGGAGCGCCCGGTCTCTGCGAGGGCGAGTCCCGGAGAGGGGTGTCTGCTAAGCTGCCAGGCCCTCGCGGCTGCCTCGTTTGCTTTTTACATTTCTATCCATGTGATTGCTGTAGCCCGTGGCCATCTCCGCGCTCACTTCCTCCAGAGCCTCTCACTCCAGTCTGATTCCAGGCTGCGCGCCGGTGAGCCGCCCAAGGGCACGTCCCCGCCACCCCACCGGGCTGGGCGCGGCTGTGAGGCCAGGTTTCCCTTCTTTTCCAGTCCACGTTGCATTCCCCTTCCTCGGAGCTCGGCGGTCTGGCTTCCTCCGTGGACTCACGCTCAGCGCCCAGAGCGGCGGCGCTTTGGCCAGGCTAAAAGTGGGCGCGACGTGGGGAACGGCCCGCGGCCGGCCGGCGCTGCGTGAGTCCCGTTCTCGCTGCAGCCGGGCACGCTGGGTGGTGGGAGAGGCTGGTGCCTCTGCCTGGCTCTCCCTGCTTAGGCCCCGGGGGCTGCGAAAGTTTGGCATGGGTTGTTTTCCTCTGGGCTGGCTCGTTTCGCAGGGCCCCCGCCCTGCTTCTGCCGGGTCCTCTCACCCTCGCCTCCTCTGTGCTGACTTTCCGGCACCCCCGTCGCCCTGCATTACGCCGTAGCTCTCAGGGTGGTTCGGCCCACCGGGGACGCTTCCAGGCGTTCAGTCCTGGAGCCTGGGGAGCAGAGCTCACTCCTCCCGCCCGGGATCGCGTGGACATCGATACCTCAGCACCCAGCTCGCGTTACAGGAGGCGCTTGCATATCTCCGCCCACCGCACTTTCTAGGGAATAACAAAATCCACCGAGTTTCCCTATCGGGCCCAAAGCCTGACCAAGCGCCTCGGGTGGGGACCCGAGCAGCAGGTGTAACAGAGCGAGGACCTCGCCTAAGTTTCCCTAAGTATCTGACCTTTTTGGGGCTAGGAGAATTTTGGTCGAGGTACTCGGTGGGGCAGGTTCACTCTCTCCTCCCTTTTGGCAGAAATGCGACTCAACTTCGCACCTGCGCCGCATCAGGACCTGAACTGGACACTTTTTCTTAGAGAGTCCCGTGGGGAGTGCCAGTCTCTGGCCCCGACCTTGGAAGTGAAGAGCTAACGATTTCGGAGTCGTTTCCACACCTGTGCGTTGGCCTTTGGGAGTGGGGTTCCTCTCCCTAAAATCAGAAGAGCTTACCCCTTTCAGGACACAGACTCCTTAAAGAATCAGACGACAGCTATGGTTTTTTTGCCGCCACCCCCACACGCCCACCCAGGAAAGAAAAACACCCGACGTAGGCGTCCAAACATTCCCTATTGCTGGTAGGTAGCGGGAGGAGGTGTCTGGGTTACCAAACCCCGGGACTAGCGTATCGCACCTTAAGAACAGCTGCCAGGAAGGAACCCTTTGGGGGTGGAAGGAGAACGAGCGCGAAGAGCTGTGGGGCTACGTGGAGACTCCAGATCCCTCTGGGTCACCCAGGCAACCATGCCCGGAGCTCCAGGTAGGGCTGCGTTTCTCCTGGGTGCTGGGATGCTGGAAGCATCCTACCCTTTCCGCCGGGCGCGGATCTCTCTCCCCGGCAAAGCAGACTCACAGTGCCCCCTCGCGGTCGCACAGGCGAATTTTAAGGCGTTGTCCAAGTCCCCGCCAAACTCATTTTATTGGCCTGAGGCAATGAGTTTCAAGGCTTTACCTATTCAATGAGTTCACCGTCCCCCCTTTTTAAAATACGAACGTTTACATCCCATTTACATTTGTACCCCAATTATATTTCCTAAGGACCTTTGATTTTTAGGAGAAAAATAGTCCAGTAATTTGAATTAATAGTGCTAAAAACAGAAGTTACAGCAGATATTTATTTGGAACTTACTACGTGCAAGGCAGATATACATATCTCTCTATGTATGGTAAGTAGTAGTATTATCCAGTACCTTACTGAAGAAGAAATTCAGGCACCGAAACTCTAATTTGCACCTCACCCCCACCTCCTAAAGTATGTCACTGTTCACGGAGGAGCATGGGTTAGACCTTTAAAGGAATGAACTCAATGCCTGTCTTCCAGCTGTTAACCTTCCCAGTCTCCAGCGTAGTGCTGGGTAACATCAAGAAAAATTGGGCTGGTTTTAAGAGGGCAATCCCCTTTTTTTTAGACTGGGAAATTTAAAGCTCCAGAATTTTATTGTTGTGGCTTTTTCTTTGCCAAGTTATGTGAAAAGTCCAATATTACTGCAGTTCTTTGCTAGCTTATATACAGCCTTTTTTCCTCTGGGATCTTACAGACTGTTCACCTTATCTCATTAATCCTCACTGAAGGCAAGTATTTTTATTTCCGTTTTATAATTAGGGAAACTGCTTTGGGGGAAGATAAATGACTTGCCCAAGGTCATACAGTAAATCAGGTCAGAGACAAGAACAAACTTGCACGTCAAAATGGCTTCTCAACAGGCGGCAATGACTCTCTTTTATTTATGTGCAGTCACTATCCAATTAGGAAATAAAGCATCCTGGTGCTCTCTTTGAAGGGGAAGCCTTTTATAAATTAATCAGTTGTTAATCAGTCATAAATAAAACTTACTCATTGTAACCTCTAGAGAAAACCTGCTATCCAGATTTCCCTTCTACTTCTCTTGTCTCCTACACCTGTTCAAGTCTTTTGTGAATCCTGCAGGCTTTTAGCTTCTGCTGTTGCCTTAGCATAGTGAACCTTTTATTAGACTTAGTTCTAGAGGCTACTACATGTAATCTCAAGTTTATAAGTTTTATAGCCAAAATATGTGTCTGTCCATAGCTAAAATCCAAAGTAAAACTGGAAAAAGTGAATGGCTAATCTCAAGATTTAGATATAGCATTTTAGAGCTAGAAGACTAGTTGAGATCATTTCAAGCATCCGTGTTTTCATGCAGAAAATGGAGGCACAGGAAGGTCAATTAGTTACCTAAAGTCACACAGCCAGTTTGTGACAGAACTAGGACAAGAAACCAGATCTGATTTTTCATATACTCTCACACTGAACTTACTACCTCATTCTTGCTGTGTGCTCCTGGCCACTGTCAAAAATCATTCATTTACTTATAAAATGTTTATATTAAGTAGGCACTTCAGTGTCAGGCATTGATGTAAAATGAGAAGACTTTCACTTCATTAATTGGAACTGTAGAGATTTCAGTATTTTAAATATGTAAAGAATAAACTGATAGTTTTTTTATATGTTAGTTCATGAATGAGGAAGATGCCAAAGTGATATTTTCTTCTATCTTTAATTGTCCAAATCCTATGAATCAAAATTAGCGAAAATGTGAAATTATATTTTACATCCAGAAAAAAAGTACTTTTTAAAAAAACAAGTGGCAATTTTGCTCTTGTGCATAGCCTTGGACCACCACATCAATTTTCTCAACACACATTGTTGAGTACCTATAATTTTATAAATATTTCTGAGTGATCTTGCTTTGTACAGTTTTTCTTTACATCAAAGTTTTCAAAACATTTCTTATGCTGTTTATTTTATATGTTTGGGGCCAGGTTTTTTTTTCCTGTTTTTTTTCTGGGGTTTTTTTGCAGAAAGTACTCTATACCTAATGAAAATCAATGGGTGAATAGGTCACAGAACAAGTTTCTTTTCAGGCACATTTTAGAACTGTCTTGATAATAACTCTGGCAAAATGATTGTTGATATTCTTAGTGCAATAAATTACTGATAATTATATTCAGGTTTTAAATTCTAAATATCAAAAAAAGCTTTTGTACTTTGCTCAGACTCTGTAATTTGATATAAGGATATAGAGTGAAAAATAATTTGTTTTGAAATTTCTTCGGTGCCACATAAGGTTTCATACCATTTCATTTTGAAGATAAATGTTCGCCCATAGAGTGTGTAAAAATTAAATTCCATTAACATCTATTAAATGTCAGTCCCAGGGGTGTCTAGCCTTGTAAAAGTCAAGGATATATAATATTAATCTTAAAATGCAGAATACATCTTGCCTCTGTTTAAACCATGAGCTAAAAGCATCTAGAAGAAATGTATGCCATAGAGGGAAATGAGAATAATGGACTTGAGTGATGTAACAGGCAATCTGTTCTCCCCTGGCTGGGAGTGAGGCGTTGGGTTGGCAATTTAATTGGGGGCAGGCTGGGTGGGGGCGTCTGCTAATATGTCTGAGCTGTATACATTATACTTGTGTGTGACAATACATATATGCAAGAAGAAGAGACAGGCAGCAGCGGGGAGTAGCAGCAGGATGCCATTAGATTATTCATTGCTATTATAACAAGTCTTTCTTTAAGGAAGATACAAAGGGTAAAAAAAAAATGTTGAAAAGTCAGAGACCTGTAGGTCACTAATGAAAGAGAGCCAAGCAAGAGACTCATAATGACAGAAAATAAAGTGAGATCCATTAAGAAGAATTCTTATTCTCTTCCCTCTGGTAATCCTGAAACATTCTATATTTTTAAATACACCTGCAAAGAGGAGGAAAGGTTAGTACAGTGTTTTCTAAAGTAAAATTGGCAGGTGGGGTATTTTGTTGAAGAACAAAAGGCAACTCTAAGCACTC